CATCCTCAGATGGTGCTATGACAAACTGAGTCATTCATTTCAAAGACAGCAATGTAACTTTTTGAAAATGTGTGGGATTCTTGCAGCTCTGACATAACACAGACCCTTAAAAACCTCTTAAAAGCTTTACTAGGTCAGATTGTTGATCCATGAGGTCCAGCCTTCCCTAACATAACTTAATCAAGGTGTATTGAGATCACAGTTCCTACAGTTCCCCAGTCAGTATGGAGGACACCAAGTTAAGAAAGGCTGATCTTGTCCTTCATTGTCTTCTTTGACTAACAAGTGTCTCATATCTCAAATAGAGGCAAAACTGTCCTCAAACTAAGGTCCTGTATTGAACCTGGGACCATATAGAGGCAGAACAGAGTTATATCTTTATCATAAACTCTAGATGTATTGGACCAGCCCCTGATTTCTGACCAGTTTTATTATTGGAGTTGGAGTCTAGTACATCTGGAGGGTATTAGGGCAAAAAAGGTTGCCCATGGACGTGGGGTAGAAGCCAATGTTGCAGCAACTTTGCAGAAGTCAGTTTGGGCTTGTATGGGAGGTTACTTGCCTCCTCATCAATGCATCTTGAGTTTCATGATGAAACATTTTAATTAACCCTTTCCGAGTTTTTCCTATTCCTTGACCTGGATCTCCACAACCTAGAAGTAGACTTTGAAGCCCAGCTATATCCACTTTATTTGCACCTGATTTCAAGTGTGTTTCTAGTATAGGGTTTTCATTAGAATGAGACAGCAACTAACAAATACAGATGATATCTTTATGCATTAGGAATCATCGCAACTCAGTGGTAGCCACTGGGATGTTGGAGAAGAGAGTGTTGGTTTTAATTTTTCTAGGGTTTGATTGTTGTATTTACAGTTTAAACTGATTCTTTGAAGCAGAAACCCAGACCAGACAGTGATCTGGGTGCTCACTTTTAATTTTGTTTTTTTCCCCTTGAAGCATGAGGCTTGGCTTATTTTCTAGAGTCACCTTGGCAGTGTGTCTTTGAGTACCTTTCCGCTGCAGGTGCCCATTTTGTGCTCGGCATTGTAGGAAGACTAGGGAATAGATTAGTTTGCCTCAAGTCACAGAGGCTCCACCATCTTGATTCATTCTAGGGCATGTGCCAAAGCATTGATTGTACCTAGTTGCTGGTAACAGCATTATGATGGTGTTCATATACATACAATTGACTGCAGTCAATTGCATTAGAAGTCCTACAGCATTAATTCTAGTGGAATTGCCTGGAAGAGACCCAAGATTTCCATGTCCTGGGAGGCAAAGCAGGGTTTGGAGAAGGTGGAAGGACCTGTCGTAGAAAGAGAGCAAGCCACCGAAAAGAACCATCTGTCCCTGGCATGGTATGGCTTGCTTTCTTTTGGCAGGTAGAGCAGCGGGTTTGCCTTCCACCTCTCTTTTTCTGTGCCAGTGGAGTCCTCTGTTCAACCATTCTGTTTCCCTGGCTAACATAGCCCTTGAACGATTCTTCCTGTTTTTGAATTTGTGGAACAATATGGGGAGAGGTGCTGTGTGTGTCAGAGAGAAAAAAGAAGGAGGCAGGAAGAATTGCCAAGAGCTGGCATCATGAGCCACAGCAGTTTTGGCAGGCACTCACAACTCAAGAGGGCTGTCTCTGGAAAGCAGGAGCTCTCCCGGTTTGGACAAATTGTGTGTCATTCCTATTTGCTCAGGTTTTTTTCAATGTTTATAGCCTGTCCCAATCCAAAAGGATTCTGAGCAGAGACCAGCAAAAGGAACAATAATATTAAAAGCATTATCCTTTAAAAAAAAAAAAAAGCAAATCAAGCAAACACCCATTGACTGCTATAACTTTTTAAATTGACATTTGATTGATGCAGGTTCTGACACACATAAGGCGCCCAAACCATTTAAGGGCCAAAGGTGCACTGGAATAATATAAATTTCACTTGCTTATGAAATGTAAGAATGGTTGGAGCCACCTGTACTTCTGTGGGGTATTCTAAAGGTTGCGGGGCACCATGAGAAATCCTGCTATCTGACCCACTTACCATGTATCTCAGGGAGGGGCGATCCTCAGCAGGCCTTCTCTAGATGACTGAACAGGTAGATTCTATTCTGACAAGTCATTGCATGATATATCCTAGTGCTGCACCACAAAGAATGTAACCAGCACTTTGAAACGGACCCAGAAACCTACCAGTAACCAGTGCAGTGACTTCAAAAATGGTGTTATTCTAGATTGGTGGACTGTCCTGCTAGGATTATCGTTTTGTACAAAAATGCGGCTTCTGGGTTCTCTCCAAAGGCAGAATGATATAGCGTGCGTTCCAGTAATCTGTCTGAATGGTGGTTAAGGTATGAGTTACTGTCATCAAGGGCATCCTGGCCCACAAAGGGTTGTAACTGGTGCACCAGCCAGAAATGGCCCCTCACCACAGCCTGGTACTGCTGCTTGAGCAAAATGTACAGATCCAGGAGGACCTCCAAGTCACAAACCACCTCCTTCAAAGGAAGCATGACTCCTTCAAGAGAAGAAGCAGTTAATAATGTCCTGTCATCAGAGTAAGTGGGGTTGGGGTAGGTTTGCTCATTTTGGAGGAAGATTAAGAGAATTGGAAGTTTTAAGGAGTAAAACCCAAGTACTTGAAACATGAGTGTTAAGGCACCCATTTCATTCCTAACCCCCTCCCATAAAATCACATTTTGCCTTGCTGTCCTGCCCACTTTGAGGTGCTTTGGGCAGGAGGTGTTGTGCTGAGAAGGCTGCCTGCTACCTGCAAGCCACCAATTGCCCACTAAGGCAAGTTACCACAGTTGTGTAGGGAAGGAATATGTGTAACTGATGTAGCCTCCCTTTCCTGCAAGGAACTGAAAGTTAGTTTACTTACCGAGGGAGCAAACGAGGACAGTTACGGGAGTTTGTCAGAGGGATTTAAAAAGAGCTCCTAACAAATTTTCCCTCTAAATCAAGAACTGGTACTTGGCTAATGTGAGAGTCTAAGAAGAGAACAAGAAGAAATGAAAAAAACCTTAGGAAGCAAAAGTGAAGATGAATGGATAAGAGTCTGCCATTGTGACCTGTAGTACTTGTGGCAAGTTTGTCTTCCTGCCTGAAAAACATTCTGGCATATATTGCAGCAAATCCAAGTCCATAGCAGTCCTTGAAGAAGAAGTCAGCAGCACATCAGCTCACTTCAGCTGATGGGAAAAAATGAGGAATTAGCCATTCAAAGAAAGGGAGCTTTACAGTTGTAAGGACTGATAACAGAAACTGACAGCAGAAGCAACTCTTTATAAAAAAGAAAGACAAAATGTGCATGAGACTAACAGCCAGAAGCAAGAGACATCAGGCTCTTCCTCATGGCCATTTTCTTCCATCCATGTGGCACCAGAAAAGTATACGGACGTACTTCTGGCTTGAGTGGCAGATTTAGCCATCTGTCAAACCTGCCTCTGGATTTGCACCAAGCATTTTGTGTAGGTGTATTCAAAGAGGTACGGGTTTGGTGTTATTCCAGGAAAGAGCTATTCTGGCATGTTCTGGAACACATTTATACAAAACATGGACTTCTTTGTTTATTGTGTTTGTGGTGGGTAAGCAGCCAGTTCCTCCCTCTGCCCAGATATTTCCCCAGGATTGGCATCCAGACTATCCCTTGTCGGGGAGTGAGCCCCTTCGAAATCTATGCAGAATGGGCTTCAGCAATAGAAACATGCCCAGCCTGCAGGTTTCCAACGTGGGAAGGCAAGCTTTCTTTCTACTGTGGACCAAGTAAAGGAGTAAATTGAGCAAGTGGAGCTTTTTCATTGATTGAAAAAGTAGTCCTTCCAAGGCTGCTTCTCCTCTTCCCCCAGCTGCTTTGGGGGGCTAGGTGTTCCTCTTGTCCTGTAACCCAAGGAAGGATGGTCATAAAGGGTAGTCCCCATGAATGGAGGGGAGGAGCTGTGCCTGGAGCAGCCTCAATCAGCCAATGGGAGCTGAGCAGATTTCAGCCAGACTGCATCATCACCAGCGTCATTGAGGAACTGTCATAGACTGTTCATACTGTAAGGCTTGTGTTTGATGAAAAGGGAACAGCCATATTGGGGTGTATGCTGCCTTTATGGTGGGCTGGGAATGAAAGAAAGGAGACATCGTAAGGACACATTCTGTAACAATGGTTGCCAAGACACCTTTATGCCACAGTTAGAGGGTGTGGGGATACTCCTCACTGCTGAAATTCAGAAACAGCATTCTTGTCCTTGTAATAAAACAAGCTCTAAGGAGAGAAGAAGGGACATTGTAGAAGACATGGACACTTAAGGGCAGGGAGATGCAACTGTGCCCTCTAAATAATAAAAAGAGAAGAGTCATGGTATTCAGTGATTCACTGCTATTAGAAATCAACAAATGTATTTCAACCAGATCCATCAGCTTGTGAAATACACTGTCTACCAGGAAGATGGAGTAAGGACATTTCAGAACAAATTGAATCCTATGGGGGTACAAATTAAATCCCTGAAGTAAGGCCCCTTAAGTAAAGACTTGTGCAATGTAGAAGGAGGAATGTTACTTTAATTAAAGCACTAAAAAAAAAAATCAAGAATATTGGCTCAAAAAAGTCACCTACAATGACTATACATTTATGTAAGTGCAGCTACGGAGGATCTGCAGCGTCTGTGGTAAAACCTTCATCTAGGTTAGCATAGTCAGAGGTGGGAGAGAGTTATTGACATCAAAATGGCCTCATGCAAGTCTTTGTTGTGACTGTACCAGGAAAGCTGTGTCCAGATGGGGCGTCTGTCCCCCCAAATATTGCAGAGTTGGAAACAATGCGGAAGAGGACAACGAAAGGAATGAGGTGCTTAGAGCAGTTTTCTTGAGATGAGAGACAACAGTCTCAGCCAACTTTGATAAAGATTTATAGAAAATGGTAGTGTTTGCTGTAATGGGACCTCTTAAGCTACTCAAGGAAAAATAAAAGCGAACACTGGCTCATGAAGTTCATGGCCTTCATTGTCTATACACGAATGCTGCAAGAATGGGAAACAAGGTGAGCTTCGGCTCTTAATACAGGAGGGCAAATACGATTTAACAGCTACAGCAGAGACCTGGTAGAATGGTTCCCGTGACTGGAATATATTAGTTGAAGTATGTTTGTTCAAAAGAAGCCAAAGCAAAAGAAAAGGAACTCCACAATACGTTAAAAATATCCCTTCCCGCTCAGGAATCCAAACAAATTAATTTGTAAATGGCATCTATGTTAAGAAAGAGAAACAAACGGAAGCAACACTGTTCTTGGTGTCTCCTAACCAAGGTTAAGGTGTGGATGATGCCTTCTAAAAGCAAATTGCAAATCTTTCGAAGAGGCATGAAGCTGCAGTGGTGGGAAACGTTAACACTCCCAGCATCTATTGGGAGACAAACTGTGGCAAGTACGGTCCTTCCAGGAAATTCTTGTTATGCTATCAATTTTCTACAATATTTCATATGATAAAAGAAGGCACAAAAGGATCAGGTGTCCTTGAGTTAAAACTAATCAGCAGGGAAGACTTAATTGAGAAAGTAGAAGCAGGAGGAACATTATGGAGCATAGTCAAACATCATGTGCCTTAGATTTCAGAAACAGGACTTATTAGAGCAATGGTAACTTGAATCCTACGGCAGAAGAAATTATTGGGAGAAGACACTCAAGATGGATGGGAGTTCAAACAAGGAATTGCTGGAGAAGCTAATGTGTTTAGCAGAACTTTGAAATCAAAAAAGGACACACCTGGGAGGCTGAAAGATGAACAGGTCACAAAGAAAAAGTACAGAAGTTAGCCCAGAATTCTAGAGCTGTCATAAAAATGCTAGTATGACCAGGGCTTCTCGGGGGTCCGTAGAATTTGAAGAACACAGTGCAATAACACTTCTTTTGGATTTTTTCCACCATTTACTAAGAAAACACATCAAAGCCAATGTCATCACCTAGTTTCATTTTCCCCAGGCTAGCTCTGCTAATTGCATTTCAGTGCCTTCTTCCTTCTCCCCTTTGCATACTGATAAGGCAACAGCTAGGCTTTTTAAACTGCCTTGCACAGAAAGTTTTTTTCCTCCCCTATTGAATATTGTAGCCTAAGGTTTCTGTAACTACGTATACTGTATGTATGGAAGCTGTAATATTGCCTTAATGTTTATGTGTACTGTTCTATTTCTAAATATCAAGCATGACCTACTTATTTTAGAAAAAAGTAAGGGGCAAAGATATACTGGTGTCCTCCCTCTGTTCTGGCTGATAGAATGCTTCATCTATCAGCAGCTTCAATTTCTGAAGGATCTTCTGCATTGAATAGAGTCTTGCCCCACAGCTCATCTTCCTCTTCTGGTTTTCAGTGAATCTCCCTCTGGATCTCGCCCAACATCTCCCTTTAGCAAATTTTTCCAGATCTGCTTTAAATCTACAACAAAGCTTCAACAATATAAGACTAATTGGTTTTTATAGTTTTATTGCTGTGAGCCACCCAGAGTCGTTTTAAGATCGGCAGGCATACAAATCTTTTAAAATATATAAAAATGAAAATAAATAATCCAGTTTAGGTCCATTGGTCACCATTACTCTTTGCTAAAATAATAGCAATTTTTCAACGACCACTGCTATCTAGATCTTAGGTTTTGGAAGCCATTATACCTCATCCATCAAAGTGCCCCCACTTCTTTCTAGAGTTGTTTCGGTGTTAAGATTCTACCCCTGATGCCAGACTAACAGCTCCTCCATCTATGACAGCATTTTCTTAAAAGGAACTAAAGTAACTTCTAACCTCAGCTTCTCTTATCCATTACTTAACACAGACCATTTATTTGGAAGTCTGCATGGATAGTCAGCAGGAAGCCGTGGCTGAATACAGGCTGTCACAGCAATTTTGGAATGTACTGAGGTGGCAAATGATGCCAAGAACAACAAAAAGGTTTATTTAGATATGTTCAAAATAAAATTTTAAAAAATCAGTATACCAGCTTCTCAGTGAAGACGGTAAAATGCTAACAGGTAACCAAGAGAAGAGTGATGCTTGAGATTGATAGAAATATGATCAAGGAATGAATGAATTTAAATCTCCAAGGCCAGATGAATTACATTCCAGGGTAGTGAATGAACGAGTTGGTCTGGCTGAACCTTTATGTACTGTCTCTGAGAAATCCTGGAGAACTGATGAAGTGCTAGATGGTAGAGAGGAAATGTTGTCCCTGTCTTTGAAAAAGGACCATCCAGCAAACTACAGTCCAGTCAATCTGACATCAAAACCTGGGAAGATTCTAGAGCAGAATATAAAGACATCAGTCAGTAAATATTTTGAAAATAGTATAGTAGCTACCAGAAGTCAGTATGGAATTGTCAATAACTTGGAGTTGATTGGGTGACTTCTTTAGCTTGGTAATGTGGCTGTAAAAAAGACAAATGCAATTTTAGGTTAAATTAACAGTAGTATAATTTCCAAATTTCAGGAAATAATTGTTCTGTTATTCAGCTTTGGTCAGACCTCCTCCACCTTATCCCCCTGAATATTGTATATGGTTCTGGGCAGCACATTTACCCTTTTACCCTTTTCCCAGAAGGCTATGAAGACCTGGCTTTTTCCCCTAAGCATTGGGCTAGGATGCGAGTTGAGCTGGGACCCGTTTGGTGTTTGGTCTGGCGCCTAGTGGGAAGGGTGATTTTGTTTTTATCTCTGTATATTCATTGATTCTTGTGAGTCACCTAGGATCATTATATGAGTGAGTCAGTCATATTAGTTCTGTAAATAAATAAAAGAAGGGTTCGGAGGAATTACAACAGATTCAGAGAAGGGGAAGAAAGATGTAAAGAAAGGTTGCAGGAGTTAGGAATGCTTAACCTTGAGGAGCAAAGGCTGGGGGCAGAAGCTATAATAGTCCTCTTCAAATACCTGAAAGGATGTCACATAGAAGGTCAAGACCTGTTCTCCATTGTTACAGACTGGAGGACACAAAATAGATTTAAGTTACTAGAAGGGAGATTTCTGAATGTTGGAAAAAAGTTCCTTCAGTAAAAACAGTTCAGCAGTGAAACCAACAACCAAGGGATCTGTGGGTTCTCCTTCATTGGATTTGCTCTAGCAAAGGCTAGGCAGTCTAGGATTCCTGCATTGAGGAGGAGGTTAGACTCAGCGCCCTAAACAGCCTCTTCCGACTCTGTTATTCTGTGAATGAGGTTGTGTTACCTTCGTAACACCCATGTAAGATCAGCTAAGTTGAAAGTATGCAGCTTGCCAAAGGCTGTTCCATGAACCCTGTGAATAAGCCAAGGGGTTCAAATCTGAAAGTGTTTCTTTAGCCATGCTAATCTGTCCATTCATAATAAATATGTGTGTGTGTGTGTAATTGCTTCACAGCTCTTCTGGATTAGAATTTGGGACTCAGAACTAGGGCCAACTGTTTGGAGCATCTAAGCGATAGATGCAGAAAAGAGAATGGGTAATTGATCAGCTAAAATAGATTTGGCCAATCATATGTAGTTAGCTGCTTTTAAACTGTTTATGGTATGAGAGTAACAACAAAAAGGAATAAATATTTAATCGTTTTTTTATGCTATCTTTCTTCTTAGAAGTTCATACACAGCCCTCTACCTCCTGTATCATAAAAACTATTTTGTCTGCTAAGTGAGGCTGGGTGCATATGACAAGCCCACGGTTGGAGTCACCCGGCAAACTTCCTGGTTGATGAAGTGTTTGAAAACCCAGATTTCTTCAGTCTGGACTAAATGTAGCTGCTGATATTGCTGCTTGGAGTTGTCCATAAGCAGATAGCTGCAGGGCTAAGATTAGATCCTTTCTCCTGTCTTGATAATGACTGTATAATGGTATTAAAAAGCAGAGCTACAATCTGCACAGTATCCTTCTTGGAACTTTCGACTGCAGTCAGGCAGCAAATAATTATGGGCACTTTCAAGTGAGGCTTCTTTCCTACAACATTCTTCCCCACTCATGGACTATGGTGTGGGAATGTTCTTATGATCATCCCACATTTTTCTACTACTTCTTCCATCTTTTTTGTTTCTGTAAAAATGGCTATGAAAGAAAGATTGGGCTATTTGCACAGGGTGTTGAAACTGGTTGTTCTGGAAGATGAATTTGGAGGGTAAGGGTGCAGCGCTGGCCACTTGGTTTTGGAGGTAGGCATTTGATATTCAGACAGGAGAAAGCATTTTAGTGTTCCAACAGCAGAACAACTGCTTCTCTGTAGACTAAGCAATTGAACATAGTGAATTCATTCTTAGAGCAAGAAGAACTTTACTGTATTTTGTTGCTAGTCTTGTCTCCTCTCCAATACATTTTCCTTTTTTTCCTTGCAGGGAAATACAACTCCTGCGGCGGTTACGGCACAAAAATGTAATCCAACTAGTTGACGTGTTATACAATGAAGAGAAGCAAAAAATATATCCTTCCTTCAAGCTCTTCTGCTCCTGATCCTATGAAGATCTGGATTCCAGTGGCCCTATTTTCACTTCATTTTTCATCTTCCTTATTTCTACATGTCCCTATCTGGTTTCTAACGATGTTCCATCTTTCCACAGTTAGGTGCCTTCTACAGAGACAGACCTTAGGCTTATATGGCCCAGTATTGTTTATGTATGGTGGCTTTCCAAAGGCAGAGATTTTCTCCACCTCTGCTATCCAAGATCTTCTTAACACAGATGGCCGGAACTAAATCTTAAGCTTCTGCATGCAAAGCAGGTGTTCTACCACACAGTGATGGACCTTCTCCAAATCTCTGTAAAACACAGCAGTGTCCTTCTAACCCCATGTTTCCCAACCTCAGCAACTTCAAGTGGTGTGGACTTCAACTCCTGGAATTCCCCAGCCAGCCAGAGTTGGAGTCCATACTTCTTAAAGTTGCCGAGGTTGGGAAACACTGTTCTAAGCTATAAAGACCCAGTGAATTCAGAACCAGTGTTATATGTAGTCTTCTTTTCTCCCTACCCTTTTCTTTTGCCTTACAGTTCCTAAAGCAATGGTGGTTAAGCAGTGGCCCTATTTTCACACAACCCTCTGCAAGTGATGTCAGACTTCTGGAGCGGACAGTTCTTGAAACCAGGTGTCTGACCACTTGGCAGGGAGAGAAAAGCAGTGGCCTGCCCATTGCCGGGATGCCATGCTGGAAGTTGCTGGAAGTTTTGCCCTGGTCATATTTGGGCAGTATCTGATGGGCGGGCCCCTGACTTCAAAGAGAGCTAGTTGACTTGGCAGTCACTTTACAATGAGAATACTGATGATGCATTATGAAAGACTGCTTATAATGAGTCTTGCTCACTGCTTTTGAGCAAAAGTGACTTCCAAGTGCAGGACAATGGCCAGCATGATTTGGGGTTGTTTATTTCGGTCCTGCTTTGAAATAGCCGTACTTTCAGATTTCCTGCTTAATGTTTTGCTAGTGGCTGTGTGAATCCTTCCAAGGAAGACAGTTATGATCAGTAGTGACTGTAATGCCATCTTTTATTGGCCAGGCAAGATGATAGAAGCTTAGAATTAACATCTGCTTAACTTCTAAATACAGCCACTCGTATTCCATTCTGTTATATCATTTGCAAATACAACGGTAATAAACAGTAATAAAAAAAACATTTTCCAACCAGTGCACATGTTTACAACCAAATTACGTGCACCTAACAACAAAAGCCTTCAGTGTGAAACAGATTAAGGTCTGGTCAGTTTAGGAGGGTTCTAATCAACTAATTAAGGTCACAGAGCTGAGCTTTTTAATTTGTAGTTAGCACTTTTTAGGGAAGTGCTGTGGTAAGTGATCTTGCCGCCCTGCGAGGGGTCAAAAAAAGGGGGAAAATGGGTCAGGCACAGGACACTGTATGAGAGAACTTTACCTGAATGAGATGGCAGCAACCAGTGATGTTCGCAGCATCTCTCTCTCTCTCTCGTTCACTTAGCAACCATTTCACTTAATGACCAAGTCATTTGAATGGAATGCAGTCACTAAACAAGGAGAGGGTGTAACCTCTAATTTGCTGATAGCATGATCTTTTTTCACCCAGTGGACACCTTGAAATGCTTTGCCTCTGATTAATATAGAAATAAGAATTCTACTCCTTCACTCCTTCCTCAAAGCTGAGAGCAAATTAGCTGTGATAATTATAATGTAGGTCTTAGCAGTGTTTAGCTGGGCTTTCTCTAACCTGTCACCTTCAGATATGTTAGGGTTATAATTCCCAGCCAGGCTGTCGCACGTGCCTCCTCCTTGACAAGTCCTCCTTTTTGCAGTCTTTACATATTTGCAAGACTATTTCCCTTCCTTTGGCTTGGGCTATTTGGGGAATGTCCATAGTTCAGTTACAGAGTTCAGCACCTCCTATGCATACAGAAGGTCTCTTAATTCCATCACAACAATGTCAGTTAAAAATGGATCAGCGGGGAGGTGTTGCAACAGATGGTTCTCTGCCTATGAGCTGAGATCAGTTAGCATAGACTTACGTAGAGTTAGATGCTGAAATAATGTGAACTGGTGGAGGGCAAGTTTCTGTATTAAGTCTCATCCCAGGAACTTCCTTAACTGCTTCTCACGTATATGGTGATGGAGTATTGTGTCTGTGGCATGCAAGAGATGTTGGACAGTGTTCCTGACAAAAAATTTCCAGTCTTTCAAGCACACGGGTAAGTAGGCAAGGAGATGTTTTCCAATTCTCATCTTTCAGAGGCCCCATGGGCTGAGGAAGCCTCGCTGTGGTAATGGGGAGACTGGACTAGCAGGTTAATGCCCTTCCCTGACAATCATGACAATCATAACTAATATTTGCAGTTCAGTTTTTACTTTCTTCCCTTGTTGAAGTGAAGGAAAAATCCACACGCTTCCCAGGCAGTCTTGGATTCAAGCACTGGCTGCATCTAAGCTAGTTTAGTTTCCAGGCCATCTTAGCTTCAGCGAGGTGGTTGCATCAGATGCCCTGAGATTATGTTATGGCGGCTCCTGACACAAAGCAAGTATCATTCTGTGAATCCCCTGCTTAGTGACATAGACACTGCACTGTGCTGGCTCTCCAGAAACTCAATTTTTCATCTCGTTTTCCTTTTGCCTCACCCTCATACCCCATGCAGGTACTTTTGCCAGCTTATAGATGGCTTGGAATATCTGCACAGCCAGGGGATTGTACACAAAGATATCAAACCGGGAAATCTCCTGCTAACGACCAACGGAACCCTAAAGATATCAGATCTAGGTGTGGCAGAGGTATGCTTTTGAACTTCCCTATTGCATGTGAATTGCTGTAGTTATCAAGTCAGATGGCTTTAAGATGAGATTGGGCAAATTTATGGTGGTAAGACTATTTTTGGCTACTGGTCATCAGAGTTATAATATTTCCTCTAGGATCAGGAAGCTTCTGAAGTACTAGTTGCTGGGGAACTAGAGCAGGAAGGGGCAATATTAACTTCATGCTCTGCATGTGAGCTTCCTGGAGGCATCTGATTGGCTCTTTTGAAAGATGCTACTAACTAGAGGGGTCATTGGATTTCATGCAGGTTGAGAGTATGCTAGCTGCAACATGACTACAGTACCCCATTATTGTGTTTACCTGAAAAGAAGACTAGTGTTCCACAAATATTTAAAATGGGAGGTCATCTTAGGTCTGCTAAGAATATGGTGATGGTGGTAGATGGTTTTTTTTCTCTCTCTCTCTCTGAGGCAGGAGAGGGGGAATAATGTTAAATTCAGGAGCTTTTCTTTTTGGTTAAAGTCAGTATTTGTCTAGAGTTCCTGCTTGGAACTCTAAGTAAGATAGGCCACAGCAGCGGGCCTTTGTCATGCTGTGGGCTGGATCAAACTGTTTGGTCCAAGTTTCTTCAGAAAGAACCTCCTTGGCTGGGTCTTGCCTTAGTCAGGCTCATTTTTTATACATTTATTTCTCTGTATGTATGCAGGGTAGAGCTCATAGCCCATTGGAGGATTGAGATGGGAGCAAGCTAGGGAATTGCAGTGCACTTGAAAACAGTGACATTACAGAACAAAGTTGCAATGTTCTGTTCTTAAACTTCTGATGCTTTTCAACTGACAGCTGTCTTCAGTCCTCAAGCAGTTTGTTTTGAGAGCCAGAACCCAAGAAACTTGGCCAAATTGTTTTTCTAAGGTCGTTTTGATGTTGGGTGATGATTACTTTCAAGTATCTACAAATTAATTATTTTTCTGAAGCATTTTTAACTGGGTAGGGTGGAAACCCAGATTTACTCCCAGTCCACACAGTGAAGATGGGGGTAGGCAACGGGGCTGCCTGGAGCCCTCAGAACACCCTAGACAGGACAACTGAATGACAGTGGCCAATTGCAGGACATTGGCAGTGCAATTTCCCACTGATTTCCAGTAATAAATAAAATGTGTTTATTCTTTGGATAGGCTTGCTACCCTTAAAACACTAATCTCCCCTTTACCATTTTTTTAAAAAAGGAAACTGTTTGATATTGCCCAGTGGAATGATGTCATGGCCCCTGCTGAAATAATCATTAAAAAAAATAGCCCACAGCTGCCCAAAGTTTGCCAGTTGCTGCTGAAGACTTATGCCTTCAACCCCCAAAGCGATGCTTCTTTGTTGTCTGCTTGCAACAGGCCTTGCATCCATTTGCTGAGGACGACATGTGCCGAACAAGCCAGGGGTCACCTGCTTTTCAGCCTCCAGAAATTGCCAATGGCCTTGATACCTTTTCTGGCTTTAAAGTGGATATTTGGTCAGCAGGTGTCACACTGTAAGTAAATGGGAATGCAAAGCAGGAACCAAACATTTAATGTCAGCAGCAGAGGGATCGTGACAGTTGTGAAGATGTCAGCCGTGGGCCTCCTTGAGCCACTAATAAGCGATAATAATTTACAAGGGGCAATCCCCCTGTAAATATCCACCGTGCTCTATAACGATACTCTGTTCACCTTTACCACACTTTTATGAACAGATTTGTACGAAACTTTCTGCTCCCACCAAATACTTATCAGTACAATAAGGACATGACTGTGTGGACCCTCTTCCTCCATCACATACAGCCTGCCTCCCCCTCACCTTCTGTCTTACAGAAGAACATGTAGGAAGAGACAGCCAGTTGCAGGCCACCAGTTGAAATAGGGGGGTGGCACTGATGGGGTGATCTTTTGCCTTTCATGGTGGGAGCTGTCCAAGCTTTCATATCATCTCCCCCTTCTACTCCAAGTAAGTCATAATCAGTTGAGGGAAGCTGGAGCGGCTCTTGCGGGTGTGGATTTGGGCCATTGGAGGGCTGCCTGCCAGAGTAGGTAGTGGCGGGCTCCTGTGTATCTGGGGGTCGGGGCAAGAGATGAAACACGCATTGTAACACAACCTCCACCCCTCATGTATTTGCATGCGAGGTCGTGGTGCAAGTGCAGAATAGTGGAACTTGCACTATGATGTCATGATCTACGTCTCATCGGTTTGGCATCAGGAGCAGGCGCTGTGCTTCGTAGGGCAAAGGGTGCAGTCTCTTTTTTTTTCCTAGGCATATATCTTCTGCCCATCCAAGGGGATATGGAGCCTGCAGGCAAGAGAAGGAAGACCACTTAAATGCATCTAATCATTTCCCCTTTCCTTTCTCTCTGCCCCCTCCTACTCCCTTGCAGGTACAATATTACCACAGGCCTTTATCCCTTTGAGGGGGATAATATTTATAAATTATTTGAAAACATTGGAAAAGGAGACTATGTAATTCCTGAGGATTGTGGTCCTCCACTTTCAGATTTGCTTAGAGGTAAGTGCTTCTTGGTCGGGAGACAGATAATATATTGTATGGAGAAACACTGGTCTCAGGATTGCACTCGTTCCATTTCTTAGAGGCTGGGGACTGAGGAGTTACTGGGACCACACCACAGAGGTGATGCAGGTTTGGGGAGGAGTTGTGGTGTGTTCTCTGTTAACTGTGGAGTGCCACTTTTGAGACTGACTACCTGCAAATGGCGGGGAACTGTTTTTAGTTTTCAACATTTGCAATAAGAGGAGCCTCTAAAGGCCACTGAAAGGAAAGTTGGGCACCGCACGTCACTCACCCCTGTTCTAGGAGTGGGCAGAGGCAGGTGGAAGATGCTTTCCAGTTCTGTAGTCCCTGGGAACTGGCAGATGTTAGGCTGAAGAAACAGTAGCATTGAAGAACTAGCTGTGAAGGCACCGGAAAGGGTTGATTTGTGACTTTTACGTCCCACTCCAGAGCCCTAACAACAACCATCTGCTGTTGGCCGCAAAACACTGATCTCGGTGTTCCTTTCTCTGATCTGGCAGGGCAGTTCTAAGATAGATTTATCTTATTGAGGGAATGGCATCAAAATCTAGGAGCAGAATTTGTTTTTAATCAACAGAGACCATTGTGAAGTGTACATCAGAGCCCTAACATAAGGGGAAGATGCAAGCTAGAATTTGTAGGGCTCTGAGAGTGCTGCTCTCCTCCTCCCTTTTTATCACTTAGAACACCACCTGCCAGCCTCTTCTTTCATTTAAATTTAGGGATGCTTGGTTTGGTGTTCATTGTCCTTGTTCCATCAGACAGAGCAGGTATTATGCCCGAGGTTAGTTTGGGGATCTGTTGGGGTAGAAGAAGAGTTCTGAAAATGCTCCTCTGCTGAGCCTGACACATTTCAAAGCTCCAGATGAAACGTCAGCTCCCATAGCCACCCCAAGATGTCCACTGGGTAGATAGGGAAAAAGCAAGAAGCTGCTACCAGCTGTTCACAAGCAGTGCAGTGCTTGGAAATCCTGCTCTGCTTGGGAGGAGACCTGACCTGGATCAAACCTAGCCAAGGTGGGCAAGGCTGAGGAAGGCAGTGATGATGGTGACATGGAGGCTGATAAAAACCATGAAGAGACCAGGCCTGTATCTAATTGCACACAGATTAGAAAGAAACCAGGCTGGTCTCTGTTTGGGGAGGAATGGTGATTGAGTTTGGATGGATTTTGGGCGGATTTCAGCTCTTTCAGTTCCATTGGGTGCTAGGAATTTGCAACTCCCCCCTCCCCTTTGTGGGATTCTCAAAGGGACTGGTGTGCCAAGATCACAATTAAGAGCAAGGCTTGTTGGGATACGGGCTCATCTACCTGACTGAAAAAGAGGGATTTGCAGAGATTCCTAGGAAGCAAAGATGTGTAGTTCCAGACATGCCAGAACAGCTTGCCTTGTGCTCTGTCCTGAGCACTGAGACTATGGCTCTATCAAAAAGCTGCGCTCCCTAAAGAGTAGCTGTAGATGGCGCTGCATGATGGGCTATTTGAAATGCTTCAGGCACTAAAACCCCAAACGTTGCATGTTTCAAGCAGATCTTGCTAGGAACCAGTTTATTTCTTCTCCCTCCCTCTCTGATGTCCCTGATACTTTTCTTTTCCTTTACCACCACCCCATCCGAGTCATCTTATGGCTATTTTTGATTTCCTGTGGTTTTTTTTCTCTCTTGATGTGACCATCTTGTGCTGAGATTGTTATATGAGGCTGTGCTTGGAGCTGTTTTCCGGTGGTCTCTTGCTTGACAGACTGGGCTTATTTTGAGAGCTCTAGCCCACCTCTCCTGAAGGACTCAGGGTGGTTAATAGCTTGTAAACCGATCCCCCTTGCTCCCCCCAGTTCCTAACAGAATAAAAGCGCAGGCTGAAAGAGAGCCCTGTCCGCCAACAGCTCTTCCCCAACACACCCTCTGATTAAAAACCAGCTCAAACAGGAAGGTCTTGCCCTGCTTCTGTAGGAGACTGCCTTGAGCTTTGGGTGAGGCTGTGAAGCACACAAGTTCCCATCGTTCTCTGGGATGGGCTGGTTTGCAGTTTCATTGCAACTGGGAGATGGCAACTCTTGCAGAGCTGAGCTGTGAGCTTTCATCAGCACCTTAAGTGCTGCAGTCATTCTTTTACAGTTTTCCCTGTAAGTGTGACCACCGTGGTTGAGCTTCGACAGTCCTTTTTAAACTGGGCATGCCGTGCAAATCTGAGTTTATTGAATGTTAAGTTATATATTAAGTGCATTTAATCGCCTTTCATTTCATCCAAGGAGCTGGTTCTCTCTCTCCTCTCCTCTCCTGCTTTAGCTTTATAACAATTATGTAAGCTAAATTAGGCTGAGACAGAATAACCAGCTTGCAGTTATCCAGAGACTCTTTTAACCCTCTTTTGAGGAGAGGTCTTGACACTCAAACCCAGCCTTCCCCAACTTTGTGCCTTCCTGTCATTTTGGTCTCTGGCTCTTACCAGCTCAGCCTGGAATGATGGGAGTTGTTAGCCAGACCATGTTGGGGAAGACTGTTGTAGTCATACAGAATCACCAAGGGAAGAGACTGCCCACCAGATTTTGTTTGCGAGTTAGTACTCTGACTTGACTCCCTTCTCTAGTCAGCTTCCACTGGTGAGATGGATAATTCATGCTCTTCCAGATGCAGATGAATTACTCATCTCTGTGTATGTTGTGGGAGGGGAGGAGGGCTGCTTTTGTATTATCTGTGAATAACTCACAGCACTGGGCTGGTTGCTTCCTTGCATTCATCCAGATACCCAGGAGCGAACTCCTTTTGAGGGCTGGTCCATAGATTCTCTCTCACTTAGAATTTAACCTTTTCAGCTGCAGGGACAAGGAGAGCCTTGCTCCAGTTTTGATCCAAAGAAAAGCATGGATTGAACGTTTTTAAGTTTAGTCTTGCGATAGGACTAAGAGCCAGTATGGAGTAGAGTGTCTGAATGAGAACTGGGAAGATCCCAGTTCAAATTCCTGCATTGTCAGGAAGCCCAGAAGGAGACATTAGTGCAGTCACCAAGCCTCAGCTTGATCTCTCTCTTAGGTTGCGGTGAGAAAAGAGGGAAGAAAATCACATAAAATACATTTTGGGAAAAAAGCAGGGATAGAAATGTTACTGTTGTATATATGTTTAGCCTCTCTGGCTAAAAAGAGATCCTCTTGTAATTCTAAAGCAAGGGATCCCTTGTGACGTTGGTCCCTATGACTCCATTTCCCAATTGAATGATTATGTGCTATTAAATCAGTGTCAACTCTTAGCAACCATTTTGATAGATTTTCTCTAGGATAAGCTGTCCCCAAACTGGCCATGTCTTCCAAGAGTGAACCCTTCACTACTATAATCAAATTTATCCATCTTGCTGCTGTTTGTCCTCTTCTCTTTCCATTAATTCCTCAAGTGAGAACTCTGGGTTGATTTGTTCAATGATTTCTTCAAACAAATAGATCATGAAACTATATCTATTTCTTGGCTATCCATGGGATTCTCAGGAGTCTTCTCCAACACCAGAATTCAAAAGCATCAGTAACTCTTGTCCTGCTTCTCCAAAGTCCAACTTTTGCTTCCATAGAGGGTCACAGGGAAAACCCACTGCAATGGCTATTCCTAAATCTTGAGGTCTATCATTCCTTTCATCCAGGGGACAGTGGTATCTTTCACTTTCAGCTGTCCAACAGCTGAGGTGTTTACCTACAGTTTTGCTTCCCTCATGGCCAGCCCCTCAGGACATGCTGAGCATTCCTGTGAATCTCCCTCAGGCCTTGCCTTGAAGAAGTGAGTTGGAGAACACCACGCTCATGTAGTCATTGTGTCCAGGGGCGGCCGTCTCTTCCTCTGCAGAGATTTTGGACTTCTGACTGGCCTCAGGCTTTACCATCATAGAAAGTAGCAAGGATGTGTGGTGCACACTATTTATAGAGCAGGGTTCAGTGCACACATATACCCACCTGTAGCCATACAATAGTGAAAGTGTAAAATCCTTCTGGGATTTAGACGCCTTCTTGTCTTTTAGGCAAAGTTGGGTCCACATTGGGGGCAGGCTCTTGGATAGGATGCACTGGGAGGGCCCGCTTCCTTCTTGCCACAGAGAGTGCCACTGTCCAGTCGCCTTCTCCCTCTGGGCCTGATCCATCCAGCTAGAAGGAGAAGCCAAAGCAAGTGAGGCCTCTTCCTCCTTGTGCTTGCCATGACTTGCATGCTTTGAGGTGGCCTGTGAACAAGCGCTAAGCAGTGAGAAGCAAGTGACCAGGCCCTCTGCAAGGCAGCACATCTGGACCTCAGCCGGTACCAACAAAGAAGCTGAGTTTGCCAGTAAGAGGAAGGGGTTGGATAGAAAGCTGATTTCTTTTCTCAATGGAACTGCAGGTTGCTACTTTGTTTTCTTTTAAAGGGAAGAGGTGACCAACGAAAACTGAAGCCTTGATTTCTTTTTCCTGTCTGAACTTTAACATTTTGCATGCACTGGAAAGGCAAGTTGCTGCCTGCAGGTTTCTAACAGCTGCCTTATACAGCAGGGGCCTGGCATTGCCTATCAGATTCTAGGTCTCTTGCCAGCGTCTTTACTCCTCCTCCTCCTCCTCCTCCTCCTCCAAGCCTGATGCATTTTATTCAGTCCATGGCCCTCCCTTGCTTGGCCTAGAGCAAAGGGAACAGAACCAAGCCGTCCAGCCATCTGCAGTTGGGTTTCGGGAAGACTCGGTGCTCTCACTTGCTCTCCCCAAGCCCCTCAGGTAGCACAAACTCCAATAATGAAAGGTGTGTCAAGTGGAAATAAAGCTGGAGATCAAAGTACTCTCCCCAGCCAGATTGGTGTGTGGGAAGCTCCTGACGCCACAAGCAAGAGCTGGCAGCATTTCTGTCCTACATGGTAAATATTTGGCCAGTTAGCTAGCCAAAGATCAAATCTAGTATTTTCTAAAAGCGTTAACTGTCCTGGAGAAAACTGGATGCTGTTTCTTGATGAAGTCCTGGTGACCTCTTTCAGTGATGGCACTTCTTTTTTAAAATAGTTTCTATTCTAAAACATAATTGTGCTCCCCAGGTTACTATTTAAAGGCATTTATGCGCAGCCAGTAAAAATTTAACTGGGAAGGGAGAGGCCAGAAGCTGTCTGTGGAGAGTAGCAGAGTAAGCAGTAATTGCTTCTAAATGAAGAGGTGTGTGTGAGAGAGCCAACCTCATTTTAGATATGCTGGGGAAATACTTACTTTAATATAATAAAGTAAAGAATACTAGGCTAAGTGGATAACTAGGCAGATAAATAGGTATCAGGTAGTATCCTGTATTTCTAGGTAAGGCTCAGTGGCAGAGGTCTTGTTTTGAATCCTGGTTTATTTCCTGACATTCTCTATCATAGAATCAACTGACCAAAAAATCCTTCTCTGCTGAAAGCTTGGGAACAGATCAGGTAGATGTGGAGTATTGGAAAAAGTGGATTGGTTGAACCCGGCTCACTCATCACAGGGCAGCTACTTGTGTTCATTAAGTGACCTGTAACCAAGCAGAGTCGGTCATTCAAGCTTCTCTCCTTTAAAAAGTGATCAGAAATCTTTGCAGAGGACCTCAAAGAGGCTTAGCTACCATTCAGATGTATGAATTTCAATTCTCAAAATCCCCCAGACAGCACGGACCTCAGTGAGAATTTAGTTCACAGCATCACAGGGTTGGAAGGGACCTTGGTGGTCGTCTAGTCCAACCCTCTGCCCAAAGCAGAAGTCCTCACACCATCTCAGACAAATGGTTGTCCAGTCTTTTCTTGAAAACCTCCAGTGATGGAGCACCCACAACTCCAGGAGGCAAGCTGTTCCACTGCTTAATAATTCTCACTGTCAGGAAATTCCTCCTTATTTTCAGGTGGGATCTCCCTTTGACGAGTTTCCACCCATTGCTTTTTGTCCTGTCCTCAGGGGCTATGGAGAATCAATCGATGCCCTCTTCCCTGGGGCAGCCCTTCAAGGATTAGAAGACTGCGATCAGGTCTCCCCTCCATCTCCTCTTCATTAAGCACAACATACCTAGTTCCTTTAGCCGTTCTTCATAGGATTTAGCCTCCAGACCCCTTATCATCTTTGTTGCTCTTCTCTGAGTTGAGTCATTCCATCTGGAGAACGCCCAGGTTGGGGAATGTTGCTGTACAAAGCCAGCTCGTGTAGCTTTAAAATGGAAATTCCTCCTTTCCTGGTGCCTTGGAGGTGATGTGGGAGCGCACAGTGTGTTTAGCAGACTCAAAAATATATTTGCCTCTGGTGGGCTAGGAAACTGAAGCAATCAAGCACAAAGGTTTTCTGCGTGATAGGCACCTGACTTGTTGGGCAGAATGTATTAGTTCCTGGGCAGAAAGGTAGTGACAGCTAAGAATCAACGGTGGCCTCACACAGCACTTAAGCAACTCATTTATTTTGTCCCACCATCGCCTGCAGTCAAGCCTATTTTGCAAACAGTTGAAGTGCTGCAGAAAAAGAAGGGAGCTAATGGAATGAGCGTGCACCTACTAGCTGGCCCTGTGAACCACTTTGGGCCTGCTGGAGGTCGAAAACAATTTTTCTTGTTCTTGGTTCTGGTTATGCCAGGCAGTTTGAAGCTGCAGTACTTTTAATAACCCATTTCTTTGTGTGTCGGACTTTTTTCTATATATCTTGCCTGCTGAATCCCCCAGCTGGCTTGATCCCTTCTCTAGGTGGCTCGTGCCAGAACCTGGAAAATCAGAAATGTCTGATGATTTGTCAAAGCGCTCGAGAACTAATATACACAGTTTTCCGGCTGGGTGATAGCCATTGGCTCAGATGCACTGTCAAGGGTTTAAGTGGATTCACATAAGAGGAGAAGCCTGTTGGTGACTCCTCATCCAAGTGGCATTATCGAGCCCCCATAATCAGGAGCAGTATGCCACCAAATGCCAGTAGTTGGAGAACAGCACTTGCGGGAGATTGGTTTGGTCCAGTGGTTTTGTTTTGTTTTGTTTTGTTTTAATGAAAGGGTTGTGTTTTGGGGTGGGAAGAGCAAAGGTTGTTGGAGCTTATGCTGTGTGCCTGCCTCTCTCCTTCCCCACAGAAAGTTTTGAAATTATCGTGGGCGCTTTTTGAAGGTCATTCCTCTCTGCTGGCATATGAAGCTCCCGTATACAGAGCAGCCTTCCCCAATCTGGTGTCCACCAGATGGGTTGGGACTACAGCTCCCAGAATTCCAAGCCCAGTCACTCTTTCATGTTTCTTGGAGGGGAGGGAGGGATAGGGCTTTGAGCCCCTTCTTTACCAGTTGGTTGTGCACCGGTCCCCAGCTGATGCAGTTCCTCCCTTGTTTTCCTTCTTTCCAGGAATGCTTGAATACGACCCAGCCAAGCGGTTTTCAATACAACAGATAAGGCACCACAAGTGAGTGCTCATTTATGTTTTCCCCCCTCGCCCTTCTGTTTGATTTCATGAAGCTGTGTGTCCTTCCTGTGTTAATTTGCCACTTTCTGGGAGGGAGCAAAGTACAAGCAACTCCTCCCCCCACCCCCAGTAAAGCAAAAGCAGATGATAGCTAGTAAACCAATTTTATTTTTAAAATTGAGATCCCACTGCATTTTGCTTCTTCAGAAAGCCTCTGAGTACTTGATATTTTACACTTGATCGATAAGTGTACAGTTACGTTGATAAATAGTTTACGTTTACAAGGAAGGAAAATTTGCATTGTCATAAAACCACTGCAGCCACCAGTGTTTCCCCCAATAAGCACCATAGGCTTGAAATTTTGGAGATGAATATCAAACTTACTCTGGGAATATGGATTTCCACCTGGCCAAAGGAGCACCATCCGCACACACTCCACAGGCTTGAGGGACACCAAGGTTTGTAATCACAGAAGTTATGGGGGGGGCTCCCCAAATAGAACAGTGAGATCTGAGTGTGAGATCTTAGGACAGTAGATACTCTGAGCACATTTTGTTACAGATTCTACTTGCAAAGCCTTAATTTCTGTTTGTATTTTCGAGCTCTTTCAAATGATTCTTGGGAGAAAAATTCAAAATTGATTCATTTTTTCCCATAATTTCCCAATCTTGCCTTTTCTCTAAAGAGTTGAAGCTGTGACTCCTTCCCCATTGCAGTCTGGCCTGAGGTCACTTCATGCTTTCTGAGATAGAATGAAGTAGGTCTCCTCACTTCTAGTCAACTTCTCTGACCAGTAACCTGGCCATCCCTAGCTCTCCAAGAACCTACGTAGCCCTCTGGGAGGCTTGTCTTGGCACATGCTCTTCCTGAGACATTCTGGGCCTAAGCAGCTAAGGCAGCTTTGCCAAGCCTGGTGTCATCCAAAGGAGGACGGGAGTAGGAGTAAAACTGATTTTGGAGGCTGGAGAAATGCTGTGCTAGGGCTTTCAAGGTTGAATCTGGCAATTTAAAATTAAGAGTTCCAGGGATGTTCTTTTCGAGCAAGATAAGTTTGGTGTAGAATAAACCTCCACTCCAGTGTCCTACTTTCTCCCTGTCTTCAGAGGCAGCAGGAGAAAGGCACATTCTAGTTCTCTTCTGTGCCATTGCCTGCTTTCCATGAACCCTTTACAAGGACCCTACATGGTTGACAGGATTCTCACATATTGCTGCTGGGAGGCTGGGAAAGAGCAGTGGTTTCCTTTCTTTCTAACGTAGGCAGAAGATCTTTTGCAACACAGGGAGTCAACCCCTTCTGACAGCCCCCTGCATCTGGCCTTGAGCAGCATGCTTTTTGGCTGGGCTTGCATGACAAAGCTGACTCAGTCATCCCCTCCCGTGCTCAGTTGACTTACCTTCATTTGCTAGCAGTGCACAATCCAGAGTGATGGAATCAGTCCTGCATCAGCCATTTTCTATTCACCCTCCCATTTGTCACAAATGAAGCTGGCAGTCAGTCATCTACTGTTCCTGTTTTCCCCAACTGGAGTGGGGGTGGGTGGGTGGGAATCTGGCACTAATCTCCCATTGGCCACCAAGGACAGAATCAGGACATCACACACACCCTTTATGCTTTGTTCATGTTGGACCCTCTGCTAGGTAGCCACAGAATTGATACGAAGTAAAAAGGAGGGAAGAGAGGCTGGATCTTCCCAGGTCTTTCTTTCTGTCTCAGGAGGGGAAGGAACAGTTTGCCCCTCTGGTAAGCCTAGGACTGTTTCAGGATAAAAACAGTCCCCTCAGGAATAATTGATCGGTTGAGTGGCCTGGGTTAAGATGCTTACGCTCTCCAACCTGCACACGTTCATCCCGTTAAAACTGTCACGCAAACGAGCTGCAGAGAATTCACCAACTCTAGAGATGGAGCTCGCCTTCCATTCTCCAGCCACCCCAGCACCGTGTCTAGGCAATACGGCCTTGCGACACCATCTGCGCCCTGGGGTCTGTCTGTTCCTGCTTCCGTCCTTTTCAGGTGCTTTAGGCTGCTTCTGCCTTTTCTAGGGCAACACGGCTAGAATAATCTGCCCAAAGTAACTGCACCTTTGCTAGGCGGCTTAAGTGGGAAGAAGCGACAGCAATCGTCGAGTTTTATCCTCTGATGTCATGGGGGACGGAAAATGAGCGTGCACCTCTGCCCCCCCTTCCCCCTTTTCCTGGTTCTTCTGACATCTTGGCCAAAATAATAATAAGCCACGGGTGCTGGAGAGGGGGGGGCTTAACCCTGTTAGTGCAGGCCCAGCAGTCTCTTTCATCTGTTTCTAGGAACGAAAGAAGAGCCCTTCCGGAACCAGGCCCAAGAGTGGTCAGTCAATGCCACTGCCCACAATAAGACAGGAAAGGAATTAGGAAGGGGTCATCTGCCTGACCCTCTCTTTGCCCCTGTAGCTCTTTCCTGTTGCCTGATTCTCTTTATGATCCCTGGAGATGCTAGTTTGAAACGCGGGACGTGCGCTCTGCCCGTGACCTATGGATTTCTTTCAGTATCTGGATCTCAAACTTTTTCTAGACAGAGATTTCTTCCCTGGCCCTCTGGAGTCCCAAAGGGGACAGTCATTGCCTTCTCTGTTGCCTCTGCTACCCTCAGCCGATTTCCCGTTTTCCACCCAAATGGTGCTGCAAACCTTTGTGTCAGGCTAATCCAGCTGTCTCTGGAGACGCCGCAGTACCGTATAGCTGGGACAAGCAGTTCTCAGAGCTGGCCGTCTGGTGCGGCAGAGATCAAGCGTTTTGCAAAGGTCACGCAATTCCCTTAATGGGGCTTTTCTGCCGTTGTTAGGGCCTTTAACGCTCTCTTGGCATGGAGCTGCTTGGCAGGATAAGACCCTGCCAGACGTCACACCCCATCCTTTGCTTAGAAAGCAAGAACTGCAGCTACCACCTTTGTTCCTCAGCCCTGCGCCATTCACCTTCTCTCCCAGGGATTTTCAAACTTCACCACATTCCCCCTTCCCGTTTTGGATTCTTTAGAAACTCTCATGCCTCCCCACCTGAACATCTGTTAAATCCATCTGCTACTTTGCACACACTAAAAGTACACAACAGACCTTCCCAGCAATATGCCACCTATCTTCCAATCAGCCTACCAATCCTTGACCTGCCTGCCTGCCTGCCACGCACTGGCCCATTTTTTACAGCACTCCCCTCCCAGCCCTGATCTTTCCACTCCATTAGATCTTCATTTGTACTTTCTTGTTTATGCTGATCATTTTTCTAAAAAGTTCACACCTTTCTACCCCCCTCCCCTTCCAGAGTATGAGTCCCTGCAGTTTGGGAGCCCTGCTCTTCCCCAGCTGCTTTCTCTTGCTTTGCAGAGCCACCAGAGATGTTAGGTCTCTTTCCTGTTTATTTCTGAATTTCTCTCTCAACCCCAAACAAAATTGCACTGGTAGGGAAAGGAAGGTGATCTGGCCAGAGCTGGCCTCATGGTTGCTAGCAGCAAGGAACCCATTGCTAACTCTTCATATCTCAGGAGCCCCTAGTCATCTACCTCCTCTTGCTATTACATCCTGCAGGGTTGTCCAGCGTAAGTGCTTGATTTGCTCTAACAGCTCAGGGCAGCTTACCGAGGCAGCTTTCCTTCATTTTGTTCCAACAACAACCCTGTGAGGCAGGTTGGACCCAGAGTGTGATTGGCCCACAGTTGCCCACTGAGTTTGCATGGCTGAGGTGGATTTGAACCCAGATCTCCTACATCCTAGACCAGAGGTTTTCAAACTTGGCAACTTTAAGATGTATGGACGTCAACTCCCAGAATTCCCCAGCCACCCTCTGGCTGTCATGGGAAGGGGCAATCATTAGGAAGAAGGGACCCCACCTGGGAGGCCCTGGCCAAGGCCCTTCCGAAATCTGAGACTGCATCTGCTCAGTTGTGGGTGCAGCGGGTGAATGTGGGAAGGTGCTGAGCATGGCCTGGAGTGCCCCAGTTCTGCTCCCTCTTAGCTTTCAAGCTTTTCCTGCCCCTTCCCTATGCAGGCCAGGGTCCCGAAGCAGCAGAAGCTTCCAGCTGGCTGCAAGAGGTTGGCGAAGGCGGGGCAGGAGCCTGAGCACCCCAAACAGCTTGTTGCACTTTGGGAGTCTAACCAGATTCCTATAGCTGCCCATCTTAGATGGCTTCCAAACAATAATAAAAACTTTAAACCAGCATAAAACTCCTGGCGCCCCCCAAAACAACCCACATGGGTAGCACATGGGTCCGGACAGAGGACAGAGAGCCTTCACATATTCCTGGAACTTCCTGAGATTGGGAAGGGTCTCTCCCTCCTCCCCCAGCACGGTTAATGCCGTTGCAGAAGCCCCACTGGGAGCAAATCCTCTTTACTGCATATTTTGCTTTGCTCCCTAAAAAGGCTTAGGATGGCCCAGGCCCAGGGCGGCAAAGACACTACGTAAAGTGTGCAGACAGAGAGGGGATCCTCCAGGACTAATTTGTCAGGGCACACCTTAAAGGCCTTGCTGCAGCCCTGGAGAGCGCTGGAAGCTGTGGCAGAACCCTCTCCCCCGTCTCCAAGGCAACCCACCGTACCTGCCTCCCGCAGAAGGCAGAGTATTTACATCTGCCAAAGGCGCGTCCTGGGTGATGCCAAAGAGACTGAATGGAGAGTTGAAGAAAGGAGAAGAAGGGTACCATGGAAGGCAGGCACTAGGATAGCCTTCCCCAAATATGTTGGGTTTGTAATGTTCAGCATTTCTGGAAAGTTGGGGAGTTGGGGTCCTCAAAACATCTGGAAAGCACGAAGTTGGGGAAGGCTGTGGTAGGTAGAGACAAGGATTGTGATTAGTGAATCCAGAAGCCTGGAGTGTAACTCTGATAGATCAGATATTGGGATTCATAATACAGCCTTGCTTTCACATCTGAAACAGAGGACAGACACAAAGCTTCCAGTGAAATTTGCCACTACCTTAAATTTCATGCAAATTTTAGCAAGCTAGTATACACTCCCTTTCCCTGCTTCTTCCCTTCCTAAAATAAGGGGGTAAAACTAGCCCACCTGACGGGATTGTTGTAGAGCAGAACAGACACTGCTTATGGCCGATTGTGGTAAGCAGTGCAAGTGTTACGTAAACTGATATTATTGTCATCATTTAAGAGGGTTCCAATCAAACTGGTCATGATTCACTGGGTTTTCTGGATTATCTATCTTCTGCTAGCTCCCAGGAACACTTCTAAGGAAAGGTTGTGAATGCAGACAATTGGGGTGTTTCTGAAAAAGCTGAATCTGTGGTTTAAGCTGCTTCCTCTAAACATAGAGGAGAGAAAAACATCTTTGTTGTTTGTCTGTGCTTACTTGTCCTGAATTACAATTAGTTTCTCTTTGTTTCCCTCCCTCTTCTCATCTTCACCAACAAAGATCCATAGGCAAATGTTTGGCTGTAATCACCTAGAGTATTAAAATCAATACCACTCTGCGGGTTTCCACTTTTATCCATGCCTATTTTTACTCATTCAATATGTAGAACAAGGGGGAGAGGGAGACCAGCATTTAAAATGGAGCAAATACAAATTCCTATGTTTTGACTACAAAAGGATCGTCTTATCCTTTTTACTGGGCTGTGTATCAACCTACATATGTGGGAAAATAAATAAATAAATATTTGGGAATGATAGTTAAGAACTATCTACTAGGAACTACTAGTTAAGAACTTTTTTTTTTTAATTGATTGGTTTAAAAGCCAATCTCAGTGTTATTTTTTTTAATGATTTGGCTTTTTTGAAATCGAAGTTGTAGTTATTTGTAAGGGAGGTATTGTGGCTCTCTAGTACGTGCCTGTTTTGCCTGTGGAAAGTGTGAGTTTTAACTCTGATATCCTCCCTTAGAAGGTGATAAAGGATTGTTGTAAGCCGCCCAGAGTTGCTTTTCTATGAGATGGGCAGCTATACAAATTTGATTGATAGATAGATTAATTAATTAATTAATTTTTTAAAATCTGTGGAGCTGCTGGCCCAGATGGAAATTTGCCAGGTCTCTACATTGCAGCAAGCCATGTAGTTAAATTTGGGCTTAGCAGTTACACCTAACCATTGTGGTTTGTAAACTCTGCTTTATAGCTTAGTGCTCTGCAGTGCTTCTGATTCAAGGGGAGTGGACAGAGGCATGCTTGTAGCATCTGTAGGCACCCCCTTAAGCCAAATTTGTCTTTTCCCAAAAGTGAGCAGCTGCTTCAGTGGGAACTGCGCAATCCCAGGAAAAAAAATACAGCTTCCTTAAGGAATGGCCAAAAGGTGTTGTGTAGTCTTATGCTTGCCCAAGCCTATTATGAATGAACCAGGGCACTGTGGCTTGTTTTCAAAAGCAGAGCTGAAGTAAACCTTGACTTACAGCAATGTGTGAATCCAGCTATTGGCTTTGTTAATGTAATAGGCAAAGTAACCACTTGCATAATAATGGAATGCTGAATGAACCCTATTTGGCTGGATACACATAATACAGGTAGTCCTTGCTTAACAACTACAATAGGAACTGGAAAATTGGTTTTTAAGTGGGGCAGTCGTTAAGCAAGTCACCACGTGGCCGCACCCCAATTTTATGACCATATTTATGACAATTGTTAAGGGAATCTGTGATGGAATGGAATTATGAAGGCCAGTCTCATCCTCTTGTATCTCCCACGCTCCTCAGGAGATGTAAGAAAATGTTTTTCTCCCTGAGCCTGGCCTTCATAATTCCATTCCATCACAGCATCCCTGCAGTTGTTAAGCAAATCCAGCTTCCCCAATTGACTTTTTTTTGCCAGAATTCACTTAACAACCACATGATTCACTTAATGACCATGGTAATTCGCTTAACGACTATCATAAAAGAGGTTGCAAATGACCATCGTGACCCCGGGGGGTAGTACAATGGTTTGCAGCGGTCGTAAGCATGAATACAAGTTGTAAAGCACTTTTTCCAAGGCCGTCGTAACTTTGAACCATAGTTAAATGAATGGTTGTTAAGCGAGAACTACCTGTATACTAAATCATAAACCAGAGTTTAAAAATCTGGCAGATCCACATCATGTTGCATGAACTCAGAGTTTTAGTTGCATGAACTCAGTTTTAGTGTGGCTTCCTGTGCCTTTGTTTTTCAAGGAAGAGTCCAAAAAATAGATTGCAAGCATTGCAAGACTCCCTTTTTATGTTGCTATGTGCTATGCCACCACAGTCATCTTGATAAAGAATCTGCCACCATCCTTGAAGAAGGCAAGGTGGACACCATCCATGGCTGATCAGCTTTATTTAGTGCAGTATGGTTCCACAGCTTCCGCTAACACTGAACTTAACAGAGGAGAATACCCAGAGAAATCTCTCTCTCTCAAAATTAAAGCCTGCTTTTATTTCAGAAAGGTAGAAAGGTTTGGATTATGTTGGTCCTGCTTCTTTCCAACCTCTGTACTTCTTTTGAAGAAATCCCACCTAGCAATTGGCAGGGTTTGGAACGAAGTCAAGAGCAAAAGTTCAGCAAATTACTTCAAATGGATCAGAGGCTTAAGGGCAGATCTTAGCAAGGATTATTCCTTAGGCAATCTTTAGCTCCCAGAGCCAGGCCTGGTCACAGCTGTAACTGACCGTTTCCTCCAGCTCGGGAGATGCTGACCTCATACAAGGCAGTGGACAGAGCTGATGTGATTAAGAACTTGGCTCTGTCTCACATTTGGCGGATGGCTGCGTGGCCAGATCTTCCTTGCAGAACACAGGTTAAGTAGCTGTCTGGCTCCATCATGATGAAGCAGCTGAGGGTGGGTGGGGCTTTAAATGGCTTTTCCCTCCATGCCATTGAGAATAGGATGCAACTGATTTCTCTGTGTTATCTCTTCTACCAAGTGGTGTTTTTTTTCTCTTTTTGGTCTTTGGAATAAGAGGATGGTGAAGGCCGCTGGCTCCGTTACCTTGGGGAGGCACAAGAACATAAAAACCAGGGTGTGTGAACCCAGCCTCTAAATGGAACCTTATTGACCAGTATCTGAGAATAAATGAGGAAAATGACTTTCTCTTCTGCCATTAACTGAAAGCAGAGCTTGGGCAGGTCTTTACGCTAGTCCAGCAAGGCCATTGTGAACGTCCTTAGAGAAATAAGGGGTTGTCAGACCTTTTGTACAAATCATGAGGCTTTAAGTCTGTGAATCCACAATTCACAGACATAATCAACACTCTTGTGGGTTTTGTTTTTTTTTTTAAAGAATGCTGAGCCCAAACTCTTACCCAGGAAAGAAATGTAAGGGGGTGGAACTGGGGAGGTGGGCAGGAGGGGGAACATTGGCCTACAGCAGTGTTTCTCAGCCTCAACAACTTTAAGATGTGTGGACTTCAACTCCCAGAATTCCCCCGCCCACCACGCTGGCTGGGGGGATTTGGGGATTTGAGCCCACCCAATCTAAAATTTCCCACAGTGAAAAAAACTTGGCC